GGCTCGTAAAATATTTACAATTTTATTTATATAGCACGTAATATCTCAATAAAGTTAGAACATTCATCCTCCAAGGCTTGTGATCTTGCCAATTGAAGCAATCAAAAAATTGTCTGAGTTCACATAAATACCGCCGGCTTTATACTACGGGATTTTCCAGTGTTTTCGGATTTTATTCGTTTCAACGTTCAATCGTTACACTTTAGACATTAGATTTCATAGAGATGTGAGGGAATTTTACACCAAAATTAAACCGACAAATTGAACAATTTCTTGGCACACTTTATGGATTTTTCGCTTACTTTCACATCTTCCTCTAAATTACGCAAACTGAAAAAATATTTCAGTCACAATATTTTTTATTTCAGGTGGTGGCAAAAAAGCAACAAGAATAACAGTTGCAACCGCTGTTGCCATATGGTTGCTTGCGGTTTTATGCGCTATGCCAGCATTGGTCGGTTCACACATCAAAGCGATATGCGATGAAGATGGCAGTCTTTGCATAGAAGTGTGCTACCCTTTTCCAGAACACTGGATGAACGAAGCGTATCCTCAAGTAATGGTGATGGCCAAGTTTCTCGTCCTGTACATCATTCCTCTCTTCATAATTTTTGGATTCTACTTAAGCATGGCCATATCTCTTATTATGAGCACAAGAAATGTGCCTGGAGAGCTACAGGGAATGCACAGACAGGTGGGCATATAAAAAGCTTCTTGCATATTTAACACGAATAACTGGTGTTTATGGCGCTGAAAGGGTTTGTAGATGTTTCAAGATAGTAATTTAAAATATGCTGTTTTTTGCAAAGGTTAGTACTTTTACCAGTGTGAAGCACAAATTAATTTTCACGTTGCAATAAGAGCAGTGCCATAAATTACGCTTAAATCCAAACAAACCAAATATGCGTTATTTAGAAACTTATGTAAGACTATAAATTTGGTGTACCACTTATCTGCAAAATTCATTTCACAGTTTCAACTACCAAAACCACTTTTCAATGTTTCGGCTTTCTCGACCTACTTCCACCTCTCAAAGTTAAGCGATATTGAAATTGTATGTTCTTCCTTAATCAGAAATAGCGAGATATTCAAGCACCTCTTAAGCAAAATGTTTAGGCAACTTCAAAGGAGTTAATGAAAATAATACGGCCAAATTAAACTCTTAATGGCTCCTCTTATCTCAAAATATGCTCGTTTAATGTAGATAATTAAATTAAATTTGACTGTAGCTGTAACATCCGTAACGTTAGAGTTATTAAAGAGAAACTGCAGAGACTAATTTTTCTGTTGATTAACTTAAAATCGGTTTGGTTTCCTAATCCAATTGGATGCCTAAAAATATACAATTCTCATTTTATGCATGGTCATTAGACGATTTTTAATTTTAGCTTTAAATTATTAATTAATTCCGGTGATTAATATCTAATTAATCTAAATAATTTAATAAAGTTAGGAGACTTGCAAAATACTTCGTGATTTTTAAATATAATAAATTTAATTTTTGAAGATTACAATTCGAAACTTGAAAGACCTTTTGTTAAGCTCGTTTCAGTGAAATGAACCCTTTTGGTACATGCTGGAAATATAACGTTTTCATTTAATAAATTATCGGCTGCTAGCGATAGAAAAAAAAATATGCCTGTGAAATGATTTATTGAGTTTATTTTAAACCTTTCGAACTCACGGTGTAATATACAATACATAAATTGCATATCGATTCTGAGTTTGCTGCGGAAAAATACTTAAGCCTAAATGTAAAGGCGCTCGTCTTCAATATATTCGTTGGCCGATCATTAATTTTTAAAATTTGACAAATATATTTAAAGGTTTGCAACACAGGGATAATATACATTCGTTTACCTTATTTTCGCGCTCCTAATGGTTAACCGGGGCAGATGAATTGGATGCTCACTCACCTGGAAAGAAACATAAAATTAATTTATTATACCTGAAGGATAGATCAGAATACACCTTTATGTAATACCGTTTTGTGCCAAAAGGCCTTAATATTGAATAAGTGAAACTGAGTAATGAATCAGTCAAGATAACTTCATTAATTATCAGCAACATAGTGAAAGTATAAACGGGAAAGCAGCTACTGTAGCAAAAGAACCGAGACTATCATTAGTTTGTATTTTTCCCAATTTATCTTTTCCGTTCTTTATGTATTCTCTCAGTCTCAGTCACCTGTTTTGCTGAAATTACAGAAATATATTTTTTCAGTTAATTTCAGCAAGTTAATTGCAGTACAAATATAAACAATTTTAGCTTCCTTTCAAAACTGGGCCTCGAGCGTGCTTTGGCTTAATCAAATTAAAGTTCTTGATGCTTACACAGCCTGAACACTGTTAAAATTGAAAATCAAACCAAAAAATAGTAGTTTGAAATTTTGCGCCAACTTAGTTTAATATTCTCCGCTCATTTCTGAAACAAATGCATCATGTGGTGTCAAATCTAATTATTATCTCACACGTTTTGCCGGCTAAGCAATTGGGTCGAGACAGCACCAGCTTTGAAAATTAGCGCTTTGAAAACGCTTCGAGCTTTCGCTAGACTTGAATAAAATGTGGTCGGTGTAAGCGAGAGTTTGGCCGATTTTTGTTACATGAACATAAAAAAAGTCTACTTTTTCCAGTTTTTCACTACTCAGTAATATCAGTAATAAAACGTTATAGAAAAGTAATTAATGGAAAATTCACAATATGACTCAATAATGGGTTGAGTAAAAATATTTGTGCAAACCCCCAATATACTGCTAGAAACCAGAAACATGTGGTTTTAATTTTCCTTTTGGCAAAAGATATTAAACCATTGAAAAATTCGATTAACCATTTTTGGTGTCAAGGAAGAATGCTTCCCGATTTGTCGATATAAGCTTTTATTCGCGCGAGTTGTGGATTGTATTGTATTGTTGAATTTCCAACTTTTTAATAAAAGGGAGTTCTTATTAAATCCGAAATTTTTAGTTCAGTTATTGTTAACCCTTTATGTGAAAGAAGCTCGAATCGTTTGCTGTACAGGGCGTTGGGAAAAGATGAACTCAATAGTCAAGGGGCAATTATGCAGGATGTCTCAAGTTCTTACAGCAGTTTATACACTGTTAAAAAAAGTTTTGTTAACAGATTTTAATACATTTTTTGATAACTAGTAGCAAAATAGTGCTTCGGCCATAATTGCAAAGACACGAAATGTTAATTGCTTCATTTTTTACGACAAAACTTCGTTACACCTTTGAATCCTTCTAAATCGTACTATTTTGTCAACATTTGCTTTCTTAAATCAATCTTATGTCTTCAAAATTACACATTTTTGGGACATACCTGTCTTTTGTGCTATTGTAGGTTTTTTTCATTATACTTTCTTATTTAGCAAATACCAAAAAGTGAAAACGTTGTAGTTTTTGTTTCACGCCAATAGTAATTAAGCAACACTTGTAGGGAATTTGCAAAATTTGTTTACAATTGGAGAAGAAGAAATTGAATAAAAATAACAAAACAAAAAAAACAAATATGTTTGTAATTAGTATTTTAATATGTATATTTAACAGAGCTCTTCTTTTAAACTAATAACGACTGTGAATGTATATTTTAGACAAACTGATGATGGTGGAGAAAAACACCGAAACGTTTTTGTAACATTTCAAATGGTAAACAATAAAATTGACTGGAACCCAGGAATTTCTTTTGAATAAAAATAACTTTAAAAATAAAAGTTTAAGGCCCAGAAACGCCGTTGTTTTGATTTGTCGGAAAATTTTTGTAAGCAACATTTTCGTGCACCCAGTATTAAATTAACTTGGAAAATTTCATCCCAAAAATCATAAACTCCAATAACCAAGTTACTACCTACTGTTGAATGCTCAAAAAAAAATAACTAACCCAATTGAGAAACGCCTGGCATTTATTCGAAACGTTATATCAGGTTTTCGCTGAAACATATTACTAAAAAAACGCCATTGAAATAAGTACTTATAAAGTTTAAAATTTTAATTACAGGAAGAGGAAGAGTATTAGCTTTGATAGTGGAACATTAATTAAACACGATGAACTGATGGCAATTTCCCAACATCGTTAAAATGTAATTTTAGGAAGCAAAAAAGCTACACTGAAACGTTTTTGGTGAATGAATATTATTAATGCGTTATTAAAATGTATTGCAAACGGGACCGGGCAATTAGATGAAATAAATCTAACTTGCTACTTTAAATGGGCAACGAAGATTCTCACTCAAACAGAATACGAATTGCACACTTTATAATGGTACGACGCACATTTTAATAATGTATTAAAATGCACTGCCTATTGCTGAATGTTAATCAGATTTCTATCATTTTTTTCAGATCAAAGCTCGAAAGAAAGTAGCTGTAACCGTACTGATTTTCGTGGCAGTTTTTGCCATTTGCTTCGCTCCGCTTCATGCTTTTATGCTGTTTTTCTACTTCACGGAAAAAGCTCAAGACCTGTATAATCCATTCTGGCATTATCTTCGAATCGTTGGTTTTTGCCTCTGTTACATCAATTCCTGTGTCAATCCAGTTGCACTGTACTTTGTGAGTGGAGCTTTTCGAAAACACTTCAACAGGTAAGTAAAAACAATTATTTGATGCCTTTTAAATTCCTTGCATATTTACTCAACTGATTTGCAAATTAAACATTTTTCGAGATGATTACGAGTATGAGAACCGAAAAAGGCAGAATGAAATACGAAATATTTTCTTTTAATGCAGAATTTATTTAATAATAGGAATTTGACATTAAAATAGTGTGGAAAATTAAAATGAAATATTTTAAATTAGTACTAAATTCTTGAATTAAGAAACTATTAGTTGACTAGAATATTACATAGTATGGACCTAATTAAAGTCTAAATTTTACATGAAGCCATTTAAATAATAAAATCTCCAGTATTAGAGTCTATTAAAAACTTTTGTACAGGATCAGTTCAACGTTCACCCTCATAAAACCTTTTAATAGTACCTTTTAAGTTTGAAAAACTAAGTTTTTTTGCGTTGAATGACTGAAATGTTTTGATTCGCTAACCAATTTAACACAAGAAATAATCTTGATTCTCACTTCAATTTTTGGCCTGTCTTCACTAACCAGAAAGTAAGTATTTGTTGTGTATGTTTAATATTTGTCAAAAAATTTTCTTGGACTTACTTAATCGCTTCTAATTCCACGTGTTCAATTACATTCTAATAATCATGGATAGCATCAATATTGTAATAAGTATTATGAAGATTAAAATGGTCAGAAAGAAGTAATTGCAACATACTAATGGAAATAAGTCACCCTCTTATTGGCTGAACTTTTTAATAGGGATGGTCGGTATTTAACGTAACTGCTAAATTAACAGTGTTCCACACGT